AAAGAACCCCCCCCCGTCCTCACGTACCACCCCACCCAACCTCCAGATCCAACGCATAATCCTCCGACACTTCCGCCATCTGCAATCCGACCCCACCACCAAAGACATCTTTCCCTCCCCACCCTTATCTGCTTTCCGGAGGGACCACTCTTTCCGTGACTCCCTTGTCCGCTCCACACTCCCCTCCAGCCCCACCACACCCGGCACTTTTCCCTGCAACCGCAGGAAGTGCTACACCTGCCCCCATACCTCCTCCCTCACCCCCATCCAAGGCCCCAAGAAGACTTTCCACATCAAGCAGATGTTCACCTGCACATCTGCCAATGTGGTATACTGCATCCGCTGTACCCGTTGTGACCTCCTCTACATCGGGGAAACCAAGCGGAGGCTCGGGGACCACTTTGCAGAACACCTACGCTCGGTTTGCAATAAACAACTGCACCTCCCAGTCGCGAACCATTTCAACTCCTCCTCCCATTCCTCAGACGACATGTCCATCCTGGGCCTCCTGCAGTGCCACAACGATGCCACCCAAAGGTTGCAGGAACAGCAACTCATATTCCGGCTGGGAACCCTGCAGCCCAATGGTATCAATGTGGATTTCACAAGCTTCAAAATCTCCCCTACCCCCACCGCATCCCAAAACCAGCCCAGCTCGTCCCCGCCTCCTTAACCTGTTCTTCCTCCCACCTATCCCCTCCTCCCACCTCAAGCCACACCCCCATCTCCTACTAACCTCATCCTGCCCCCTTGACCTGTTCGTCCTCCCTGGACTGACCTATCCCCTCCCTGACTCCCCACCTACACTCATCTTTACTGGCTCCATCCCCGCCTCTACGACCTGTCTGTTTCCTGTCCACCTATCTTCTCCTCTATCCATCTTCTATCTGCCTCCCCCTCTCTCCTTATTTATTTCAGAACCCCCTTCCCCTCCCCCATTTCTGAAGAAGGGTCTAAGCCCAAAACGTCAGCCTTTCTGCTCCTATGATGCTGCTTGGCCTGCTGTGTTCATCCAGCTCTGCACCTTGTTGTCTCGGATTCCCCAGCATCTGCAGCTCCTACTACCCATGAGCTGTGACTAATTGTGAACCATCAATCCCTTGGTCGTTATACAACATTGATTGTGGACATTGGAATCTTTGATGCACATTTCTTCTGCATCCTGTGTAGCAAATCTGGTTGTTAGAAATTTCTGGCTGGAACACTGGGAAACCAAGAACAAAGCCAACAAAGCACTTGAGGAAGAGTATTAGAAAAAAAGACTAATTGCATCTATGAATTAGCTAATGTATGAAACAATAACGGCAGCCATTACTATTAGAATATCTGGCCAGAATGATCTAGATGGATGCATGTAAAGAGTATTACAGCATTGATTGTCTTAAATTGGCACCTACATTATAACTTCAGCATTACAGACCTGTGTATTTAACAGTCCACTGAAAATTGATTAATTACTATTTGTTTGAATGTACAACAACTACAACTTGCACTAGTAATTGCATTTAGGAGCAGTTTTATACAAAATACTACATTGCGTGAGGAAATACATCTTGTGTCATTATTGTACTTAGTAATTTGTACAGTAACATTAAAGAAACAATTTCATCAATCAATGTTACTGAACTCTTTTTTAATGTCAAAGTAATGCTCTCCCACTCATCTTCCCCAAAGAAATTAAATCTTCTTTAATTTATAATTCCCTGTTTTATTCCCACATTCCAACATAAGCAATGATGTGAGTAGAATAGGTCTCACTATGAGATTTGGCTTGGGCAGACAGCTAACTCAGCATTCTTAGAATGGAATAGTGCAATAGTTGAACATAAATAATGTTGCAAAAACCTTACTGTGGATTTGGTTGTTGGTTTCAACCTTTTGTTTTGAAAGAAAGCACAAAATCTATATTAGTCACAGAGATCAGCACCACAAAGGTGGAACAATCATGAGTTGTGACCAGTTGTGAACCATTAATCCCTTGGTCTCTATGCAACATTTGGTTATGGACATTGGAAGCTTAACTTTGGCTGATGCACATTTCTTCTGCATCCTGTGTAGCAAATCTGATTGTAAGAAATTTCTGGCTGGAACACTGGGAAACCAAGAACAAAGCCAACAAAGTACTTGAGGAAGAGTATTAGAAAAAAAGACTAATTGCATCTATGAATTTGCTAATGTGTAAAACAATAAAGGTCTTCCTTAAGCAATATATTGGGGAGAAATATGCAGGTGAGGGCATGTGGAGGCATCAAGATATAGTAGATGTGTTAAATTAATTATACACATAAAACTATAGATCCAGTCAAACTGTCCTGGGAGCTGTTACAAATGCAGAGGTCAGCGAAGCATATGCAAGAAGAAACTTGGAAGTATTAAATGTTTATAGGTCACCAGAAGCAGATGGCATACACATGAGATTCCT